TTCTGAATGACTTTCTACATCTTCATAGAGATGCAAAAGCTGATGGCATAGAGTGAACCAGAAGAGATTCAAATGTTGAGGTTAGAATGCAATGCGGGAAATAGATGTTTAGAGGAGATTAATGGGATTTTTACAGTGGACGTTACAGGCTTGGAATGCTCAATTCGAGATTAGATCAGAGTGCTGAAAACCACAGAATGGGAATATGGACGATGAAGTGAGAGAGCAACAGAGCGAGAGCAAGAGAGAGAGAGAGAGAATGCTCACTGTATGATTGAAAAACCATAAAAATGTCTACAGGACATTTCTCTCAGCTTCAGACAGCACACTCACAGGCCATTCACACCCCGCCTGATGCATATCGCCCACAAAACTAGCAAGAGCTTTCTCAAAACCTCAATCTGTGGTCTGATTGTGAACACAATTCCTGGGAGTCAGGAATTCCCGGGTTTTTATAGGCCCACTGGGAAACAAAGTTGTGTTTACAAGGTATTGGGCTGCTGCGCTGATGAGCACTTCTTAGAAAGAACTAGGATGGATTTGCAAGGTTTTTGACGAATGACATTCAAATCAGAGATTTGTTTGAGGCACTTATTTGGTACCTAGTAAACAGGATATTCTCAATGACAACTGTATATTTCATTTTGTTTGCATACATTTACTATAGTCTATGTATAAATTATTCAACATTTATTCTAATCAAATCTAAAAGGAAAAATAGGAAATCATATGGAGATGGAAGCCTATTTGCAGGATTATACATTTATTATTATAATTTTCACAGTAGTTTCAAGACAATTAAGTGCATTTTCTCAAATTTGTATTACCTTTATTGCAATAAAAAAAAATGAATACAAAAATAATAATCTCATTCTGATGATTTATAAAATAATTTAACTTGTTACTGATTATTATTCAAATAAACATGCATTACATATGTATAAACATTTTACAGTATAGTTTAAATAATCTTTACATTTGTTTATTTATTTATTTATTTTGGTTACATATTTTGATAACACTTTGCAACAAGGTTCCATTTGTTCTATACTTCTAAAGCATTTATTAATCTTAATATTTATTTCGACATTTACTAACACATTATTAAAATCAAAAGCTGTGTCTGTTCATATTATTTAATGCACCTGAGATAACATGATCTAACAATGAATAGTTGCATTTTTAATAACTAACGTTAACAAAGAAATAAATACTGTAATACATATTATTAAAAATTGAAGTATGACCCAGAAAAGGCTTTGATAAGATTGATATGGTTCTATAATTATAATAAGACTTAATGCTGATATTCAAAAGTCTCGGGACACTGACCTGTCTGAAGAACTCCTCCAGCAGTGAGGTGGTCCAGCGGTGGTGCATGTTCCAGTTTTTGGCAGGATGGCTGATGTCAGCAGTGTGCAGTAACAGGGATAAGCCCTTGGGTTTATCGATCCTGCAGAGGACAGAGATGTTCAGCCCCTCAGAGCTGTTAAAATCACTCTGTCCAACCTCTCAATATGTGGATATGAATATCTGTAGATGCAGAAATGTTTTTGCATGAACAGTGTGTGATTAGCTAAAGCCCCTCCTCCTCGTTACCCTGATGTGTGCGACCGAACTTACGCTTCTGGCTGCTGGAGGAAGTTCTTCATGGCTTTAATCTGCTGGAAGTGACAGGTCATGTCAGTGGCCAGGACCATCTCGACTACCAGGGCCCGCAATTCTCTGAGAGAAAGACAAGTATTCAGTATCGACCTTACAGCATGTTACATTCAGTAAAGAACCGTCTTCTTATCAAAAAACAGTTTTCTTGGGTTGATTCAACACACACACACACACACACACACACACACAC